CGAGATTAATTACGCGAACAATCATCAATTGTGCGTTGAATCGACGAGTCGAGAGAAAAGGTTTCTTTTCCGCAAAAAAAAAAAAAAAAAAAAAACGGTCATGTCCGAGGATCCAGATCTTTTCCCAAACGAATAGAACACACGAGGCTCGTCCGATGGTGTATAGATCGTGACTTCCGGAGGAATCGACGCGTCGTGGATTACGTAACCACGGGGGACATGCGTTTGTATGTCGCGAGGAAAGGGGTCGACGGTGACGGGAACCGATTCCCGCGTTTTTTTTTATATCAGAGTAACGTGTAATCGAACATCGCGACGTATACCTTCGTAACCGTAATTGAATTAACGACAATCATAGTGTACGCACGTTTTACAATCATCCGCACGATAAATATTCATTTTTTCACATCTAACGATAAATCTTTCGTAAAAGGGGGTGTATATCAGGGAGAAGGGGAGGGGTGGTATTTCTTTCGTCTTGGGCAAGTGTGTTTGTGAAGTGGAACCTCGAGGAGGGGGGTGGATAGGGCAGGACATTTGGGGGTTCGATTAGAGGGGACGAGAATTGGGGGTGGTTTTTTTGGGGGGGTTGGGAGGCAGGAGAGAGGAGGAGGGCGGTGAGATTGAAACGAGTGTAAGAAATATCATACCTTTTCTTTCGTTTTGGTGTGGTGCCTGGTGAACGTTTAGAAAAAGGTATTATTATTATTATTATTCTTTTTTTTTTTTGTATGTTTGTTTGTTTCATTCGAGGTATCGAGTAGTTAAGGTCACACCGAACGATTTATAAGTTTGACGCGAAGCGGGGGTGGTCGGTTTTTCGTGAGCGTATAGAAAGGAAGGGGGGTGGGGGTAGAGGGGTGACTTAGAGCGGACATAGGGGTAGAAAGGAAGGTTTAAATTTACGTTTACACACAATCATGATTAGTGCTTGCTTTTCGCTTGTGTTCTTCTGCTTTTTCAGCTTGTTGTGTTATTTTATTTTAGGTTATTTTTTTTCGTTTTGTTTAAATGTTTCATTAACCCTAAGGAGACCTTAACGTTTACACTCAATAACTTGTGTTTCATGCTTTCCGCACGCGCTTCTCTGCATCACGGGTGTGCACGCCTGTTCGCCCGTGTGTGTGTGTGTGTGTTTTTTTTTTTTCGTTCTTTCTACGTTCGCCTTTTGAAAAAAGTTGTTCCGTTCCTCCTTAATTCACCGGTTTCTTTGCTTTACGTTTAGGGTAAATTTTAAGTTTAGTTCCAAAAAACACCGAGAGAGTAGCCTTTGCTTACACGATTTACGTTTTTTTGTTCGAGTAAGGTATAATTTTTTTTGCGTTAATAAGGAATTTTTGCGTATTTTTTTTTTTTTAAACACCGAACATACATGCCTTATACTTTATGTACAGCCTAGAGTCTTTCAGTCGTTACTTTACTTAAAGAGAGTCGTGAGATAAGTGCGTGGATTTATCCTTTCGTTTCCTTTGTCCTTGTTCCTTCCGATTTTTTTTTTTTCGTTCATTCTTTTCTACGACCAACCGTAAACGATCCTTCCTCGGCACTCTCGAGAAAGACGGAAAATCGTGACGGAACCCCCAAACGTCGAACGTCTCCCAACGTTTCCGACGCCCGTTCCGTTTTCGACGCGTGTCTCGACATTAAACGAACCATCATCATCATCATCATCATCGTCAACCTGCTTCGAATCCGCCTCCGTCGATTTCGTCTTGGTCCAACCGCCCTGCTCAGCTACTATCATCTAGCGAAACGACGAAATCGCCGTTTGCTTTTTCCTTCAACGTGTTCATCTAGTCAAGGATCTCCTGTCGAACGGAATTCTCTAATCGAAAATACGAGAAGAATACCTCGATAGTCGCGCGCATCTCATTGATAAACCTTGCGAGCAAAATTAGTCAAAAGAGGAGGGACTGGCGTTCTTCTTATGGTCGCTCAAACGGCGATTGAAACGATCGCGAAAACTCTCTTCCATATTTTATTTTAATTTCTTTTCTTTTTCTTCTATTCAACGATTCGATACGATCCTTCCAAATTAGAGAACACCCTAGAACTTGCTAAACGTCGTCGTCGTCGTCGAAACAATCGATAAAAGCTGTAGAAATTCGTTCGAACCTTTGACGGAAATCACGAGTAAAGTGTTTTTGTGGTGGCGTGTTCCGTGAAGTGAAACGTCTAAATTCCCTTGTGAACGCGATCGAGGCGGTTGATTTTGTTTTTTTTTTCTTTCTTTTTTTTGACTCGACAGGATCTCGTCTACCTTCGCTACGTACTTTGCTTTTGTCCTTTTCGTCGCCAAGAGGAAAACGTGCACGGTCGAGAAATACACAGCGATCGTAAAACGTAGAAAAGTTGAAAAAGAAAAAGAGAATTTCAATCGTTTTACTACCTAGCCCGCGGGGGACTCGGTGGAAAAGAAGTCAGATTTCGGGAATAGAGAAGTCTCTCGAGCATCGAATGTATGTGTATGCCTGTGTCCTATGTGTGTGTGTGTGTGTGTGTGTGTATGTATGTTTTCCTCGCGGAGAAACGGTGTACCTACGAATTCCGCCATGTTTTATTATTTTTTCTTTTTATTCGCTGCTTCCCTTTCTCTACGCGGTAGTAAAATTTGTGTTCGTATCAAAACGTGGGCGTAATTGTCGCGCGTAAGAAAATATTCAGCACTTCGGTAAAAGACAAAAACCGAGAGTCGAGAGCAAGCGCGCGTCTACACAGTTATCAATCCATTTACCCTCCCCACCCATCCCTCCCACCCCCTCAAAATTCCTTAGAAATATATGTGTCTGCTTCCTTTTGCCCTCCCTAGTCGTTCGTCGATTCGGTTCCCAGCGAGTTTCGCGGAGACCATTAGATCTTCGTCGATGAAGGATCGAAAATGAAACCTCGACGGTAGTGGAACGCGTTGCAATGGCTTTTGCTTCTCTCTATTGGTTCGGTATCGGTTGTCTCGTAATTTTGCGTTCGTAAAACGGGGGCGACGTAAAAATCGTGTCAATTTTGATTCTCTTCTCATCGACGAAGATACTCCCCCATCCCCCCTCCCACTCCCAGCTTCCATTCGTTTTTCCTAAGCAACATCGTTCTATCCTTCCTTACTCCCTTCATTTTTGTAACCCCTCTCGCGTGCGCGACCCGTTTGAGACGTGGGGACGCGTTTCTATCGAACGCCAGCCTCGAAATAACCGAGATTAGAGAAATATTGTCGCCTTATGAAAAAACGTCACCTATTACGCGCGCCAACAAAAGTCTTGGCCTCGTTCTCGTTTCGCATTTACGTTCGTAATGACCAAAAATATATGTATATATATATAATATATCATTCCTTATATAATTATGTTGCTCCTTACGAGTTAAGTAATGTTAATAGTGTAGGTAATAAGTTTGCATTCCTTTTTTTTTTTTTTGTTTAGGTAGTTTTACATCGATAGAGGAAAAAAATACGTTGTTGTTGTTTTTTTTTGTTGTTGTTGTTGTCGCGTCGGTATATTTTGTTTTCATTTTTGTCGTTCTCGTGTCCACGCACGGTTCAGAAAGAAATCGACATTATATGCATGTATAGGCGACCGACGTTTCCGCGCGCGTCAGTCGGCCGGGCAACCCTCGCGGAAATTGTTCATCGCGCGCTCCTACCCAACGCGTGTTCTCGGTTCGCTTTTTTTTTTTTTTCTCTTGGTTTCTCCTTACGGAAACGCGTGCACGCGCGGACATGGTCACGCGTTGCTCGATATCACGTGTTTTTTCCCCGTTTGAGTGTGTCTGTGTGTTTTTTGTTTTCTGTTCGCCTGGATATCGCCTTTGTGCGTGTGCACATTGGCTCTTCAGTGCATCCGAGGGTGGATCACAGGCGTCTGTATACGATTATACGTATATTTTTGTGTGTGTGCAGCGTCGAATTAAGGGAGGGGGGGCTATAGCCCTGGGCCCCATTTTCAAGGGGGGCCCCGATCTGAGCCTTCTGTTTATGTAAAAAATAATTGAATGATATTTTGTTTACTACCCTTCTGAAGTAATTAAAAATTGTATACTATATGTAGAAATAAATCGGATCGAAGTTGTTAAAATATAACAAAGCACTGTTCGTTATAACGAAGTGTTTGTTAGGATTAAATGATATTTAATTTTACATACAAAAAATTTCAGTTTTTCAAGATTTCTGTATTTTAATTGTATGGTGCATTACAAAAATTTTGTACCCCTCCCCCTGCTTTACAACCAAGGGGCCCCTCGAAGGTTTAATATCCCTGGGCCACATGAAAGCTTAATCCGCGCCTGTGTGTGTGTATATATAACGTGTTGGAAAGTGTGTCACCCCGGGTACACGGTTGCGTGTGTATGTTTCGTATACGCGTGTTACGAGTGAACGTTCGGTACAATTAAGATCGCATCTTGGCTTGTATGTATGCGTTTCTTGCCGTTTTTCATCGAATCGAAATATAGCCATAGTGTCGAAAAGGATTACCCGTACGGGCACGGTTCGACCGTCAACTGGGAACGGTGATAGGAACCGTGCGCCCGATACGGTACAACTGGTGGAATCGCAGTGGGTTCATGGGGTGGTTGATCGGTGTTTTTTGGGTATATACCCAAAAGGGTGTTTTGGGTATATAGGCGTCTGTACGCGTTTACTTCTTTTCATTTTTTGTTTTCCCTCGTTCTATTCGTTTACTCGTTCCTTCGTGCTCTTTAGTATTCTTTGCCTGTTATACACTGTTCCGAACGTCGCCACGGCGACGTTCAACGGGGGCCATATTCGAGATGTATCAGGGGGGCAGGGTTCAGGATATCCGGGGCTGTTACACCGTTTCGTGCCACGTTTTTTCGCGTTCCTTGTATCGTTTACTCGCCCCGCACGCTTACAACGGTCGAAGGTGCTTGCCGTTCCACGCCCCTCGCCTCCTTCGAAACGGTCGCGGTTCGCTTTCATAGCGAAACCGGCCAAGTGTCGTGTGTGGCCTCGATTTCCGGCTCTTTGTTCGTCCCGGCGACGAAATGGGGGTGGGGCGTAAATAAGAGGAAGAATAGAAGCCGAAATTCGGGAGGGGCTGACCATAGCGGTTACGATATCGGAACGAAGATAAGAGGAGAGGGCGGCGAGAGGGCAAACATCTCCGTGGTTCTCGGGGTCCCGTGGCGTGTACGAGGTCGACGCCGCGGTGCTGCGCGTGTGAAAAATGCCGTCTAGCATTGGGCGGGAATGGGCTTACCGTATACGGACCATTTCTCGCCGTATAAATTCTTTCCGTTTACTCTCTATTACTTTTACTGATCAACGATACCGACTTTTCTCTCTCTACTGGTCAACGGAGTCTTCCATACTGATCACGGGGCCGCGTTGCTCCGTCGCCGACTGCTGACTGTTGGTCTGCTCGCCGGTTCTGTTGCTCCCGGTGTTGTAGCCCCGCTGCAGTTGCACAACAAGCCCGCTAACAGCGGCGAACTCTTTCTGTTGCGGCTGCTGTTGCGTAGTCGGCTGTTGCTGCTGCTGCTGCTGCTGAGTCTTCTGGCTCGAATGATCTACTATAAGCTTACTATCACAGGCACTTTTTTTGTCAGTTGATACGGCGTAGAGTAAGTCCGGGTAGTGATTCAGCGGTGGCTGCTGCGTTTGCGACTGCTGAACGGTCAAAGTCTTTTTCTCGCGATCCTCTTGCCCGCCGCCGTTATGAACCTCGCGCTCCCTGCTGCTCCGATCGATCCTCGTGTCACGTCCACCGTCCTCGTCCCTGCTACCAGCTCTCGAGACAGGTGTCGGCGGTGATGTAAGACGATCGCTACCGTCGTCGTTACGACCACGTTCCGAGGGTGACGGGCTGAGATCGACGGTGGGCACGCGTTCCGGTCTATCCGGTAACGATCTTCCACCGGTGGACGATGGTCCCCTGTAACTTTCGTCCTCGCTGCTGTCCTGCGCGAGTCGCGGCACCGGTGTCCGCCTCGAATTACGACAGAGATGATCGATCAACGCTTTCCCGCCTCTCATCGCGTCCGGGAGCTGTTGCTGCGAGGACGATTGCTGCTGCGACTGACCCCTCGCCTCGGTCATCGCCGCTCTCTGGTCCCTTGGTATTCCTGTTTCGAGGCTAGACCTGATCAGACTGTCCAGAAAACTCCCGTTCGCCGCTGAACCGTCGTACAGGCTATCGGACACATCCCTCGATCCCTTCGCTGGCATCGGTGTGCCACGAGAGTTGTTTGACGTGCCAGGCGATTCTGTGGTCGTCGCTGACGACGACGACGACACACCGATCCCATCGCGATCCCTTTGCGGATTGTTGTGTTGTTGCTGCTGTTGCACCATCGCCGCCGCGCTTCTCTGTTGTTCCTGCAGCCCGCGCATCCGACTGGTCGCGAAATACTGTTCCGGCAGGATCGTCGGGACGTTCGGGGCGCCGGCGATGAACGGCGACGGCATGAACGGCGTCGGATTCCAAAAGTTGAACGGGGCGAACGGTAAATGCGGCATACCTTCCATGAACGGCGGCATCTTCAGTCCGTTCGGTCCCGTGATACCGGCCGGCGGTGTGAACGGTTTCTGCGGCTTCAGTTGCGGCTTCTTCTCGGCGGTTCCGGGTCGCATGTTCGCAGCCGCAGCTGCCGCGGCCGCGGCCGCTGTTTCTTTCGTTTTGTCGTCCGTCTGCTTCTGGTCCCTGAAACGGAATCAACGTCGAGAGTGTTCGAAAAGATATTTTAGGCTGTAATGTTCGGTCACGCATGTATTTGTATTTTTGGAGAAATGTATATTTGTTGCGTCGAGCGTTTTTCGTGTCGTAGACGGCCGTAAGTGTATTCGATCGCGGTCAGTCGATGCGTGATCGTACGCAATGAAATCGGACGCTTAGCGTTTAGCATTCTATCTTTTAACTTTTAATTATTTCCTTTCATATTACGGTGAAATATTGTTTTATTTATAGTCTAATAGTGCGTGGTTTTTATTATTGTTAGTATTAAGACCAAGAGAGTAGTAGATTGGACAAATATTTCCAATCGTGACAATAATCGAATATACAGGGTGTTAATTTTAACGCGAACACCTAAATTATTTCGGTTACAATTGAACGTCAGAAAAATATGACTAAATAGGATGTACATGGTTTTAAAGGCGTGGCATCTGATGGTGAATGACACCAAATTTAGTAACGTACCTCTTCCTCGGCCTCATGAGGTGTCGTTCCTTGACTTTGTACTCGAGGGTGGAGTGCGGAACTCCGTAATAGCTGCCCGCTCGATGCACGCTCATCTCGCCCCGTTGCACCGCCCGTACAGCCTCCACGAGGCTGTCCCGATCGTAGTTCCGGTATTTGCCGCGTTTAGGTCGCGTCCCTTTGCCGCCGGTCGCCGGTTTCGGTTTGTTCGCCTCCTGGGCCTGTTGTTGCGACTTCGACGCCTGCGTTTGCGCCTGTTGCGCGGCCGGCTGGGGCGGTGTGTATCGACCTCTCTTGAACGGGCTCGGTTCCGTCATCATCGTCTGTTGCGATTGCACCACACCGCCGCTCGGCTGACATCCGGCCATACCGGCCGTGGCCACCACCGGCTGGCCCTCTTGGAACTTGACGCTGATACTTTTCGCGATCACGTCCCGAAAGTTCACCGCCACCGTTTTCCCTACGAGCGAGTTGGTCGGGCTGCTGGTCCCGGAGAACGCCGGACTGGCCCGTTCCAGCAGTCCCGGACTGGACGCCGCGGTCGCGAAACCTTGGGCGAACGCGGCGGATGTCGGTTCGCCGTTCTTGCTGGAACAACCCGGTGTGCTGGCGGGCTTGTAGGACGGAATCTTTAGAATCGCTCTCCCCTGAGCGCTGTCGCTCGCCTCCTCCTCGATGTTCGGATTGAAGTCGTCGTTCGTCATCGGGCCCCGTTGTTGCGTCTGCGAGCTTGCCTGCTGGTGCTGCGAATGGGATTGTTGATGATGAAATTGCTGATGATGCGGCTGCGACTGGTCCCCGTTTACGCTCTTGTTTAGCCTCTTGTCCTCGCTCATCAGCCTCCTCATCACCTCTGGAATGCGATATTCTTGCGTCTCCAAACCTGCGTGACCGAGAAAACGTATTGTCCTCGTCTGTAAGGATTTTTCTTTCGAGGATCGTGTCGGGAACCGTAGGTTACAGAGTTTTCACGCGGCTAGATAGACACGTGATTTCGTCCAGTTCTTCGCGCCTACAAGCATTTGTCTTAATCCCGGATTAGCCCCTCGAGAACTGTTTAAGCTACTTAAACGAAGTTCCGTTTCAGAAGGTGGAGAAAATGTCACCGACCCGTCGACCGGGGCCTGGCTTCTATCGATTTTCGAAGACCTAGGCAGCTGGTAATACACTTTTCCACTTTCGTCTCGGCCCTTCGCCTAGACTAGTTGCCCAGTCAGCGAATGAAACGGTCTCTGTTGCGTCTATCGAAAGTAACCCAAATCCACCCCCACCCGTAGCTCCAATGGATGACAATATCTTCAATCGTATATATATTAACCCTCCTACAATGAATGCAGGGTCATTTCGAACCATCTGTATTTGTTGCCTTATTATTTCTAATTATATGTAAATGTATAGAAAATTTACAATAGAAATTCCACTAGGAGTCCTATTCGCCTTCCGAGGGTTCACCCCTTGCTTTATAACATCGAGCCACACACGTGATGACGATTTCAAACTGCATTTAATATAACATTCGTATAATTCGTTTTCCTTGAATCAAATTAAAATACTGGTTCCCTGGTATTAACGTTTAAAATTTAGGGATTCTAAATTAGAGTAAATGTTGCACTTGCCATAAGAATAGAATTCTTTTTGTATATGAGAAATTATGAACGATCAAGTAATTGTTGAGAGTGCAGTGAAACAAATGGTTGGGCAAGGGGTTAGTAGTCGATCGTCGCAAATATCAGGGAATCGCTCACCTTTGAACGGCGCCGCCGCTGCAAGCATCTTCTGTATGTACGGACCGATATTCGCGTGTTCGAGTCCCGGCCACTCAGTTCCCGTCTCTTGTCCCCGTTGAAGCAACGTTCGCAGGGAATCACGGCCGCCGCCCTCGAGGGCGGAGAATCTGACAAGATCTTCCAGGGACAACAACGGCTTCAGCAGAGCTTTCTCGACTTCTTTCTCCTCTTCGGCTCCGGACAGTTCCTTGTCGTCCACCTGTTAAGAATATTTCTTTCTAGCGTATTCGGCACACCCCTGACACGCGGGAAACGGAACATTAGATACGGATTCATATTGGCAACGATAATCCTCTCGAGGAAAGTCGTCCTGCGATCGATCTTCGTTCTACAAAAATTCAACAATTCTCGCTCTCTCTCTCTCTCTTGGTTTTGACGAAATTGTCTCTCTTGTGCTAGCGGGATTTCGTCGAGAGGCGTTCTACCGTGTTTGTATGCGTGTGTCTGTGTTGTAACGGTGTCGGTTGTCCATATGTAAGTAACTGCTTGATCGTCGGATGCGGAATGACCACAAGCGTCATGCAGGATTACGTCGGAAAAAGAACTGTTTGCAAAATAAGCGTTACGCAGAAAACGAACGTAAAGAAACGAAACAAAAAATACAGATCGATGACAGTTCGCCCGAAGTTGTGCCCGACGATTATTTCGTCTTTTCTATGGTTGCTAGCTTTCGCGTTAAAAAAAAAAAAAATATATGGAAAGAGAAAGGCAAGATCGAAAATTGAGAACCAGCTGGATAAAAATTGCTTTGCTCCCCGTACGAGTAAAAACAACCGGACGCTACACACCAACACTTACCTCGCAAAAACATTATTCAAAGTGACATGCATTCAAACCAAATGATCTACCAAAACTAAGCTACCTGCGCTTCACTCCTAACGACACCAGGCAGAAACACCATTAAACAGAAAATTAACGATCGAAGTAATCGCCCAGAGGATTAATTCTCTCAAAATCGTGCCAGCCAATTTTCCAATCAATTCTAAAACTGTGTATGCATCGGGGCTCTTATTTCAGAAATTAATCCTCGATAGGTTTCCAACGTGTTACGTTTTTGAGAAGCCACGTCACCCGCCAAGCATGCCTCGATTAACGTAAAACTCGCGTTCACGCGACTGCTTCGTTGTTGTAGGTATGTAAAAATAATTCATCGCGAAATCCTATCGTTCCCCTTGCTACCGAAAAACAAAAAAAAAATATATCGACAACTAGTGCTGAAGCACGGACCGTCTGTTATACAAAACACATCGAGGATACACAGTGTCGAGGTTTGAAAAAGCGTATTCGTGGCGACGAATAATCGAGGATCCACGTCGCGTCGCGGGATCCAGAGGACCACGGTCCAAGGGGAGGACTTCTCGCCCCCTCCTCTCGGCTCGAAACGATCGTCCCGAGAACTTACCTCGAGTCTTGCAACCTCGCCAAGACCGTGTGGCCGTGTGTTAAACTACAAATAGTGAGATAAAAAAAGTTAAACAGCCCATGCAAAAAAGACATTCGACACTACTTTTTAGCATCACGGCGACCGGTGAAGAATCGCGCGTGAACCGACACTTCGTCCCTTGACCAACAAAACAGCTCGGTTTTCCACTTACTTCACATTACTTTTCTATTTCCCCGTTCGTTTCTCTCGCGTGAAAACTGAACAATCGGTTGTCGAGCGACCACGAAAGTAAACGGAAAATTTTCGCCTCTTTCGACGGTTTCGAACGATCGGTCCACGCGAATCTCGACGATCACCGTGGCAGAGGTATGTTTTGGGGAAGCTCCATTCGTTCTTCCTAACCAAAAACACACTTGGAAACAAATGTTTTCGCGAATCGTCTCTATTAGTTTTAATTACAGAGTCCTTTCGATTATTGTCTGGCTTGTCCTACACGATTATTGTCCAGGCGTTATCCCCACCACTGGGGGGGGGTGTAGAAACTGTCAAGCAGATTGTTACCCCTCCGTTATTGTTGTCGAGGCTCGGGTTTCGGGCAAAAAACAAATTTACGAGGGTCCGAAGCATTTCTTCCTATAAGATTATTGTCCTAATCCAGACCGGAGTTTGGGACGATAATCGAGAGGAGTCTGCACACCCGTTTCATCGACCCTCCTCTATTCTCTGAGCTGTTTTCGTCTCTCTTTATTCGTTGTATGTGACTTTTGTATCAATCAAAATCGATCCTGTACCAATGGTGGTTCTCCTCTATCGTCAGCGTGATCTTTTCTCGTAACCGTTCCGATAATTTTCCGATCAACGACGACGGAACACGCGTATCGAAACTGAAATGAACCGTACGCACGTTGTCGATCGAATCTACCAATCGCGTACACAGCAAGAGACGGAAGTACCGGTGCCTATCCGGTAGCACGATTACTAGACAACGGTAGCTACCTATATCAATATCGTCACGCTAGTTCTCATCATCATCTCTATCCTCCCGTTTTCTCGCAACCTCACTCTCTCTCTCTCTCTCTCTCTCTATCTCTCATACTTCCACACTCATTCTCTCTCTCTCGTTTTCTCTTGTTCTGTCCCCAAAACCTACCTCATCCACTTGCGGGGGCGGAGTGGTCGCGGAGGCGTTTTGGGTCGTATTTGGTGGTGTTGTTGTTGTTGTAGTAGTAGTAGTGGTGGTGGTGGTGGTGATGGTGGTGGTGGTGGTGGTGGCTTGGGCGCCGGGCTCGTGAGGGTGTGAGTGGGTGCTTGTCAGGGACGCGTCCCTTTCGCGTTCCATCGCGAGCTTGTAGACCTTGTTCCGCAGGGTGCTGCGCGGTATCCCGTAGATCACGGCCGCCCTTCGTGTGCCGAGCTTGCCGCTCTGGATGTCCCTAAGGGCGGCTTGCAGCTCCTCCTCGGTGTAGGTCCTCCGGCCGCCCCCGGCACCCACCACGGGGACACCACCGACGCCTGTCGCCGCCGCCGTCACAGCCGCCACTGGCCCGGTCATACGCGGTTTCGCCCGATAACACGAACTAAAACATTCCACGTGCTTTGTCTGTTAAGGCTCTCAAAAAACCAACGCGATATACACGGGGAACCATGAATGATCGGTAGAGATACTCTGTTATTAACAGTTCGATACGTAACCCAGATCTAATCCCAGTGTCAGACTGTATTAAGTCAAAATTTTCAAATTTTAGAGGGGAGGAAATCGAAGGTAGAAAGATCTTGTAGCTTTGGGACCGTTCGGTAATATTTAAACGAGGAGTACTCGCTACTTTCGAACTACTGAATGTACTCAAGTCTCGATATATTAAATCCCCCATGTGATGGATTTTACACTGTTAGGCTTCAGATACTGTAATTTGTGCACTATTATATTAAAAACTAAAGAACTTAGAACGGAATAATTTTCACTATCAGAAAGAGTGGAAAATTTCATCCGGGGAATATGTAAAATGTAATTTTTTGAAAAAAGTGGACTTAATACACTCCGAGGTCCAAACATATTGTCAATTATACAAACTGACAAGTTAACGGTAATGGTTCAACATAGACGACGATCCAAATTCAGCAACCTTCTACACGTACACCAAATAATATCGACGGATATATTCAAAGTGACTACCGGAAGTTCAAGTGGAGCAAGTCACCGGTAAATTTGGTCGACCGCCAGGGAATATCGATACCCGTTCGTATTAAACCCGTCAACGTAACGACGAAGTTCGGTTATCCGTGGTACACTTTTACTGCTGAGGGGACTCACGTGCAGAAATGGTTGGTTCGGGAAACTTGCACCACGGTTTCCGTATCCACTAGCCACGTGGCCGTCCCGTACGGGCACGTGTTGTGCACGAGAACCGAATCGATCCACGGCACGACGGTGTGTCTCGTTAACTCTTTGATCACAGCCAGGCGAGCTGCGTTAAAACGAATTCCGCGATACGAAATTGGGGATCGACCACGGGCGAGAGTATTACGTAATTAAAGTTCTTCCAGAATTCGAATCGCGACCAGTTGGGAAAAGACGAATCGTTAGATTGGGTAGGATACGAACGTGTTTATTAATTTATTCGTACAGCTTGTCCCCTTGGAATTTAAAAATTCGAATCGTTCGGCATAAATGGGAATCGATCGGAGAACCGAAAGATACGTACACCGAGCGCACGACCGTTATCGGGTCCGTTTGTAATTCGTCTCGCTATTCGACGATAAGATTAACCGAAAGAATTCGCCTGACAAAGAACTACCCCCCTCTCGATCGGTGGTTTCGCAGGAACTGCTGCCCCCCCCCTATCGGGTTCATCGACCTATTCTCCGTAGCGCAGCGGAGACAATTTTTTAATCGTAGCTGTTCCACAGGGTGGTTGTCGACACCCCCTATCAGTCAGCAATCATAGGTACAGCTTTTATTCCCTGTCTCTCTTTCGAACATGAATCAAATAATGGCTATTACTGATCATTAGACTCCGGATTTTTATGCAAAATAATATTTTTCAAGACGGTTTAAAGGCGTCTTAGACCTAATACATTCGTCCGAATTATATTTTATATAAACATGTTTACATTTCTTCTCTCGTATTCTAATGGTAATTAACCCGCAAATAAATAAATAAATAACTAAAAAATGTTCGAAAAAAAAGGCACCACGAAATGATTCAGAAATGGTCCCACAAATTATTATCTGGTCGCAGATTATCGCGGTTTCGTGGTCTGCGTGAAAATTCATTATCGAAAGTTTCACCGATGAAAACCATTCGTTATTCGGCCGATCGTACGAGCTTCTAATTTCGACTTTACTGGCGCGTGTTTCGACGGCGGGCTATCTTATCGTTAATTACAGCTGAACGCATGCGCGGTCGCGAACCCGAGGCACTCCGTGTGTCCCATCTTCTTTTCTCCGTTCGCCTTTTCCTCCGGCCCCTCTACGATCCTATATACGCGGCTTGGTCGCGTACGTACGACACACGCGCGAGGTACTTTGCGCTTTCGATGTGTCAGGAGGTGCAGATTACGGTGGACTAATAATAGACGACGATAAAAATTCGACGCGCAAAATGTTCCGCGGGGGAAAACAGCGAAAACACGAGGGCAACGTACGGACACGCTTCGAGACTTTGACTCTCCGTTTTACTCCTATTATATTCCCCCGTCCCTCTCTTTCTCTTTTTCCGCCCTCCCTCTAGACTCCTTCGACGGTCGTGTTTATTTTTCGCGAATCGTCTCCGGCACAGGGACCGTTATCGCACGGCGTGTTCCCCAGTTCGATTTGGAAGTCGCTGAATTTCATTAAAAAAGAATAAGGTGCGTGCACATGATTCGGATGCGACGCAACGGGGAAAAGGTTATCCAGGATACAGCGTGGAAATCGGTTGTGAATTTCGAGAAGTCAGGACCTTCCGATTTCTCTTCCGTTCATCTTCGATTCAACGGCAGGTTTCACTTTGCAATTTTCGAGTTACCGGTCGGAACGGACTCGATCCCCGAATCCGATATGGGACCCCGTTTCCGATTCGTACTGCGCGCGATTTCGTTCGGCAAACGTTAGTGGATAAATGTTCGAAGGAGCACGATCCTACGCAAGGTAGCTCTTCGACAAGCTGACAAAAACAAGATGCTGCTGACAGACTGTCGCGGAAATTCGCAACGAGTGTCGGCACGAAAACGATGCGAACAGATTGGCGGAAAAAATTTCCCGGAATTTCCAGACAGGCAACGGGGGAAAAGTTTTTAATTGCCCGGTTTCGTGGCGAGCACGCCGCCGCGACGTCTCTCGTATTCGCCGATACAAGTTTTACATAATGGACAGGGTATCCAACGGGAATGCACCAGAGGTTCGGAATCGTTACAGCGATAACGGCCACGTCGCCGTGGAGTAAATATAATCACCCTCGGCGCTCGACGAGCGCGTTGTCCACTAAATTGTCGCTTAACTCGAACGTATCTGTTCCCCCCGTAATCCATGGAACACGCTGGCCGACGGAATGCGATCAAACACTGTCCCATTGCTCGCGCGGAATGCAAATACCTATATCAGAGGTGGCTTCGTTTCGCGCCCTCGAGGTGTAAAACGAGTCGTCGCCGCGATAACACACCGGCCCCGGTAATAATCGACGGCGCGACGTTTCTTGTTGCCAAGCATCGATCGGACGAAAATTTCAACGGAACGGGACGACGGGTTTGTTTTTCGGTATAACACGAGCCACGACGAACGTGGCTGGAAAGAGTCGCGAATAACATGAAACACGGTTTACCTTGTGTCAAATTCAAGAATGCATAACCCAGATAACACGTGACGCCTCGAAGACGTCTATTTCACGGCTATTTTAGGTCCAAGGCGTCTTTAAGCCGTGTTGAAGGCGTCATTAGACGTCGTGTACTATCTAGGATAGAGGCGTAGTTCTTCGTCGGTGCATCGTGAGTCGGTAGCTAACTCTAGGCTAGGCGTGTGTCCCGGATCGGTTATCGATTTAGAAAAAAAACGATGCTACTTACTTAAAGATACTCTTGGGGTCGATACCAGCTGGCATCCTTAGAGGTATTTTCTGTTGCTCCAAAAGGGATATGTTGTTGTCCTGCGACAGAAAACAAGAGAAAAAAACGATACAATCGACACGATGCGACCGATCGTTTTGCTTCCGCCGGGGGACAGGGGGAAGGATACATGCATATATATGTATATATATATATATTCCTGTTTCTCGATCGGCGTAAGGGCGGACACATGTGTGTGAAGACGACTCTACAATGTGATTCTACTATGATTTTTCTCGATGTAAAAGAGGAAGACAGAAACAGGAGAAGAAGAAAAAGAAAGAACGTTGTTCTACTCCGTCTACCCACGCCAGAAGGCAGACACGTACCTGAGAATTTTTGGGTTTGGCCGACAGGTCGAGCGGCTGATCGACCGGCGTTGCGCTGTCCTGATGAGCTTGCACCCCGACAAGAGGCGCCTCCCGTGGTGGTAGACACCATTGGGGCAGCAGGGTGGGGTAGGTGCCGCTAAGGGCCGCGGCGACCACGGACGCCGCCATCGGGTCCACCTGGACCGACATCGGTGACTCGGCCGATCGCGAGCTGCTGCTGCTGTCGCTCTGCGGACTCTGCAGGACGCGGACATCGTACGAATGGTTATGCTCGTCCGGCTCTCGTCGTCGTCATTGGTCGACGGAATACACACGGAAAGGAACTGATTACCGCCGGCGTGGGAGGGAAGAAACGATCATGAAAAAGGGAAACACGGCGCATCGTTCGTCGGTGGACACGAGGCGATGGACGACGGATCGAATCCCGGATCGAATTCGTTTTTTCACAAGGCGCCCGCCGATGTACGACCACCAGGCGAGCTTAAAGGCAGGGGAAGGGGAAGGGGGGCCTTCGTGAAACTTTTATAAGGACGACACGCATCAAAGTGATCAAAGCCGCGCCATACCCGGATATGGCGGCGAAGAGATACTTCTCGCGGGATAATAAAAAATTGAGCGTTTTCGCAACGCTGCGATCCGTCGTGTCACAACCCCCGAGAGAAGGTTAAAGCCCTGCGTCACGGCGTTGTCCTTTCCGAAAACCGATTAATTATGCGCTCTGAGCAGCAACTCCCGCGGCAGCTAATGTCGTTTTCCACCAGAGCGCGAAAGGTATGCACATTGTATCTATCCCTCGGATCCGATGCAACGAAGACGATAATACATATAACCACAGACTTCTATATACAGAGCCCTCTCGATTATTGTCCGGGCGTTATCCCCACCACTGTGGAGGCGGAGGCAGTGAAACCTGTCAACCGTATACATTGTTGCCCCTCCGCTTTTGTTGCCGAGGTTCGGACTTCGGGTAAAAAACGAATTTACGAGGGTCTGAAACATTTCTCCGTACAAGATTATTGTCCCGGGGCGGATCCGAATTTGGGACGATAATCGAGAGGAATCTGTATAAGAATAGACCTTTCATCCAATGTATTTCTTCGATCCATTTGTCTGGGGTTACGTTGCTGCATTTCCATTTCGCAGAGGAAAAATTTTTTTTTTTTTCAAAAATTTCGACCGCAGTGTACCCTTAAGGTGTAGAGTGTACAGTTTAGGTGGACCACCAACCATAAGATGAAAGGTCTGTTCTTATATCTCGTCGGTGGTAGTATATAGAAGTCTGTGCATATAACCAATGGAACATGATAGAAGCGTGTAGGGCGGTACATCATTGACGGGAGGAAGCATACTTACAAGGGGCGGCTGATCATCGTGCGGTAGCTTGCCGTCCAGGCAAAAGTAACACTTGTCCGTTGGCTTCCAGTCTTCCGGCGGTGGGCTGGTGCGTCGTCCACCGGTAAGAAACGGCGCCACCGTGTTCCTGGCGGCCGAGTCAACCTCCCGACACGGCAACCCTGACCTGGTGCCATCCGAATCCGATGCCGTCAGTATCGTTGGCCCGCCTCCAGAGATCGCCGGTTCTTGCAACTCCTCTTCCTTCTTCACTCTCAACAAGCCCTGCGTCACCGGTGTCCGTACCAACGCGACTTCCTCCGTTCGTTCCTGAAACGTACATTCGCACACCACACGTTAAAAAACAGTGCCTAACAATTCAAGCATAGATGGTGATGATTCTGGACCATAGAGCCAGAATATACAGGGTGAACCACCTCCTCTAAAATTTGAACAGTGTAACTTAATACACTCCTGCCCTGGGGTCCAGAATTGGGAAAGAGGACTATTACTACAAGAACCTTGGTCCCTTCCGTGTCGGTAGCATTGGCATGCGGATGATCCCGAGTTGCTCGATCCTTGTCCCGTCTGAGAGGACTGACCGGCCTGTCCGTATCCTGATCGAGCTTGAGCCTCTTCTCCGCCTCGTTCAGGCCGACCCTTTCCTCCTCCTCTTCCTCGTTCTCGTCGTCGTCCTCTCTGTCGTCCGTGGCACCGTCTCCGTCGTTCTGTCGGCGTTTTCGTCGTCGCCTGGTCGGGATCGTGGTCGTTCCGGTGGTCATCGTGGCCGTGGTGTTCGGGGACGCGATGATCGTCGCGTTTCCGGTCGCGGTGCTGTTGACAGTGGTGGTGGCGGCGGTGGTGGTGGTGGCGATACTGATGCCAGTGGTCGACGTCGTCGCTGTTGTCACCGATATACTCGTCGACGTTTCCGGTGTCTTCGTCGCCGACGACTCGTCTCGCGCGACACCGTTCTGGAACTCGTCCTCGTTGACCTCGACCTTCACCTCGTCCGGCCTGAGACGACGTTGGTCCTCTTGTTGATTGTGACGACGATGGTCTTGAACCGAAGACTGGTGATGCGGATGATGATGATTTTGCAGGCTGTGCCTTTGCAGGCTCTCCTGCTTGCACAGGCCCGTGGTCGTCGCCGTTGTTCCTGGTGTCGTTACCGCCGTCGTCGCGGTCGTGGCCGTCGAGGTTGTCGTCGCTGCAGCTGGTACCGTGCACGTTGTCGTCTGTACCGTTGTGGGCAACGTGGAGGACGCCGGATGAAGGGTACGCGGCGGCCCGATTTGTTCCAAGCTGCCGGGCACCGGGTCGCAGGACGACGAAAACGCCGGGTATAGCCGGTGGTGGGGCTGTGCCGTCAATGATTCGCTGCTGCGAGTACCGCTGTACAGGGTGTCCTGATATTGCTTCCATCTCCTACGGCCCATCAACTCCTCCGCTACCCGTTCCAGACCTGCGACACCATCGGGACTATATCAAACATTGACTAACAACGGCTTACCCGAAACCCAGTCGTATGGAACGTCGTGTCCTCTCCCTCACTCACTCTCTCTTTCATACAGTCGCCGTTACGTTTGCCCTTATCGTGGAAGAATTTCCGTTTTACGAGGCGGCGATAAACGCGATCCGCGGCGCTCCGTCATCGCCGCACCCGCCCAGTGGGAAACGAATAGGCGTGATTTTAGGTTTGACGAATCATGGAAAAGCGGAGTTCCCTCGGTAGCGCTACTGTAAAGATCCAACGGCCACGATAACCACAGCCGTAATGTACGACGATGGCGGAATCACCAAAATCGCATGCTCGAGAAACCGTACCGGACGTGGCAGTGGTGGTGGTTTTTTTGAAGGACACGACGGTAACACGCACATGCCCCCCCCCCCCCCCCCGTATGTATCTGGTAGAATGTCGCAACCAAGAGAATTGCGGCACACGAAATTGCCAAGTGTTATTGCGAACGCGTTTAGTAATTTAAAGCGAATGCTTTTCTCTCCTCTATTTCTTTTCCTCCGCTCGCGAATCAACGAGGTCGCGGCAGCGATGGCCCGATTTAACCCCTTGCCCTACCATTTGCTTGACGACTGCACTCTCAAGAATTACTTTATCGTCAATAATTTCTCAGATAGAAAAAGAATTCTATTCTTATGACAAGTGTAACATTTACTCTAATTTAGAATCCCTAAATTTTAAATGTTAATACCAGGTAACCAGTATTTTAATTTGATTTAAAGAAAACGAATTATACGAATTTTTATTAAATGCAGTTTGAAATCGTGATCATGCGTGTGGCTCGATGTTACAAGGCAAGGGGTTAACCGAATTTTCGTATCCTTTGAAAGGCTCCGAAACGTTAGGATCCGTTGCATTGGTCGCAGCGCGCTGACGATAGAAGCGGGACGATAACAGGATTGTTCCGCTTCCTTATTCAAAGGCCGAGCACAGCTGAATGTTATCGTAACAGTGTCGATTATAATATAGGCGACGAAAGAACGCGCAGAAAGCCGTCAGGATTCGTGTACTCGACGTTACCACCGATGAATATATTAATGTGTTCCGAATCAATGTCGAACGTGAAACCAAAGAAACGAGTTCCGATCCTACACACGGATATTTATCAGACACGATCTATCGATCCCACCACTAAACAACCCGATAGTCCTATTTCGAAGTGATCCGAGTAAACAATCGGTGTCCTGGAGAGAACGATGGACGAATATGACTCGGTTGAATTGTACTCTTACGAGCAAACTCGACTTCCGCTAGGGGAAAGAATGACGTAGGAGAATGGCGTCCTACCACTTGGTAAATTTAATTCAAATACTGAAATACATGTTAAATCAGATGTTAATTTCGCATAATTTTCAATAACTCCGAGACCAAATGGTAGGAAGTCTTTCCCTTACATCACTTTTTCCCCTAGCGGAAGTCGAGCTTGCTCGCGAAGGTACAAGATTTCGACGTGATTCTTCCAATGAAAAAGAAAACAACGGAAAACCTTTTTATGGTTATTCGAAACTCACGTGTGTGTGTGTGTGTGTGTGTGTGTGTGTATGGGGAACGTTCGTCGACAATACTTTCGACTCGAGCCCGTTTCCTCGCGTGGCGTCCCCGTTCGAATGCGTCAATTGATTCTAAGCAGACACCCGGTACGGTGGGCACGCGTCCCGCAAATGCACCATAACTGTCACGCCATTTGGTCGTCGCGTGTGCCACGAGCACATGCCGACCGACCAATGAATGTACGTAAATATATTTGCATGTGCTCGGCGGGTTAGGTCTCGCGTGCGCGAGAAGATCGAGCCGCGCGGTGGCGATTTTTCATGGCTGTGCCCGCCTTTGTTTCTCTCGGCGCCGGATTGATTTTGTCGTCCGGCCAGCACCAGGGACAATCGCCGCGCCGATTAAAGCGCCGTGCCGCCGAGCTCCTCGCGGACAACGGCGCGGCGTTTCTCGTTTCTCGAGAACTCGGGGATCGGAGAATTTCCAGATTGAATCGCCTTTCGAATTAATTTTCATTTGAGAATCTAGGGAAGGTGCCCCAATTACTGCCACCTTGAGATCGTTGCGTATCTTCATTTAATCACTTTACGTATTGTTTAACCTAAAAATCGTCTTAGTTGGGAACATATTATTTAACATGTTTAACCTAAACATCGTCTCAGTTGGGAACATAATATTATTTAACATGTTTTATCTAAAAATCGTCTCAGTTGGGAACATAATATTTTGTAACACGTTGTTTGCCACAGTGAAAAAGGCCGTACGTAGTCAGACACACTTTATTCCGTTTTTGAAGTCACAAATTGTCGAAAATATGTGTGTTTAGTTAATAGAGGTTGCTGGTCTTCTTTTGAATTATGTTACGATATTAATTTCACGCAAAATCATTGAGGCTAACAGGACACACATGATTTTTAAGTGGTAAACGATTATAGTCGACGAATGAACGGGGATCGTTTCGCGAAAGGATGCGCGGTTCGATTGTTTCGCGAACCACCCAGCGTGGTGGTACCGCCTCATATATCGTTCGAGTGTTTAGCTGACAGCGTGCAAAAAAAAAAAAAAGAAGAAAAGTGTCAGGAAGGTGTGTGTACTCGTTCGACTAACATTGATCGGTGGGACGCTGAATTAACGCCGGCTAGGCCACGGAAGAAGCGCGCGCAATGAAAAACATCTGAATAAATTATTATTGTTTGTCGAACGTTTCGAACGGATAGCGATGCTCCCCCTACCCCCTTCTAAGCCCCTCTTCCTCTCACATCGCGGTTGCCCATCGCCGTCTGTACGGCCATTATTTAAACGCTCTAGTTCCACGCAGCTTATCAAATACAGGTATAATGCCAGTTTGCGGAAACGCGAACTGGATCTGCGCCGAGCGCCGCCGCCGACGTATCCGCTTGCACGCGCTGGGCTGTCAGAAAAACGTATGACAAGCATTACGGTCAGGGCTGAGTTTGTACGAGCGTGTTTCAAACGAAACTGTGTTAGGTTTTTGTCGTAATATCGTTTTTGGCCAACCATCAACGCCATTTGTGAAATCGTAAATGTACGCGCTAGAGCTAATTCACATATTTTTTAGCATCTTTTATTTTAACAATAATAGTAATGAATTTGTCGAGAAAATAAAAATTTTCGTATTCAGTTTAATTGTACAATAAGGTATTCTCAAAGTTTTAAAGTGATTGATTTAGTACTTTGTTCGGAATAAGTTCCCAAAAATTCGTTCATTTTTACTTATTCACACCAGGCGCTCCCTTAAGTAGGCGGGTTCTTCCGGTAATTGTGGCACAATTTACGTGAACGAAGACGTTATTCACATACGACCAATCTGTAATCGATGTTTTCAAGAACTTCGACGCTTCCCCGATTTCCATAGGTACAATTTTAATAATGCATCGTTAACAAGAACATAGATATTGCACGAATAAACGGAATCGGCGATACTCACGTTAATCAGCGTATCGACGGAACCTCGAACTTCTTCGTAATCGTATCGAACACGTACCAAGACCGAGAGCGCGGCAATTATACGAATCATCATCTCACGAGAACGCGCAGAACCTCTCAAGGCTGAATAGAATGAGTCATGAAAATCTGTCCGGAATATAAGGCGATCGTTACACGAAATTCTTTTTCTTATTTTTTTTTATTCCTCGGTAAATTTAGCTTCGTTTCACGCTGACGTCAAAACACCAACTCATCCAGTACGAGAAAGATGTGTCACGCTTTGTTGGGCAAAAGCGAACGCGTAAACCAGTGATGGGCAACCGAGCCCGCTCGGGCATATTGCCCGCACGGGCAAGTAGCGGGCAGCCGTGGGCTCCTGTGAAGGTAACGCGAGGCAGGAAACGTAACGACATATTTGCGTATTGGGATTCGCATATATGTTACGCGCCACTAAATGTCCCATAAATTCCCAAATTATTCGGGCACTTTTCTGAATCCAAGATGGCGGAAAAACCTACAAATTTGTGGGGGTCAAAATATGAGATAGTCGTAGTGATAGACTTAATAAACAACACATATGTACGACTTAACGGTCTTTTATTGAAAAATCTTATGAAAGTACACAATTTACAATAATATTTTAATAAATTTCACAACAATTGCCTTAAATACTACTTAAATATATACGAGTTTACAATATATTTGTAACAATATGTGCATAAATTCAGTAAAACATGGCTTAAATATTATTCAGACTTACAACAATAAAAATAATTCCCTCTTCTGTAACTTGTAAATCTTCCGTACGATGTTCAAAGCTTCATATGGAATAGTTTCATACATTTGTCGTCGAAATTTTCATTCTTGGGCACATACGATAGATGTCGGACTCCTGTGGAGGGGTTGCGAAGCAGGACACATCACGAGTCACGAGTCGTGATTCACGACATATTTGTGTGTGAAGAAAATGATAGATACGTGCTCTCATTCACACATTTCACCCACCATTGCCATATGCCTGCATGCTGCACGTTGTTGCCCGCTAGCGAGTTTGGCGGGCGCTGAGTTGCCCATCACTGGCGTAAACAATCTGTTGCGTAGACAGTGCTCCTGGGTAACTATTTGCTTTTTTTTTCCCCTGGTAACTAGCTTCTGATATTTAAATACACTACGATATTTAGATAACATGCTAGAAGTGATTCTAATCGAATCGCCGAGATACGTAAGGAAACAATTACTCGAGACACGAATCGAATACAAGATTCCCCTTTTTCTTCGAAAGGTCTGATGAACCGCGCCAGACTCTATCACTGTCTCTGTCTACTGGTTGCAGCATCGTCGACCTTGCATGATAATCAATGGGCTCCGGGAGAATAATCTGGTTGGAAAGGTAGTAATCGTGCTTTTTCCTCTCACCGTGTTCTCCGCCGAGTGGGCGGCGAAACACGGGATCCGGATTTCCAAATGAATGAACGTATCCAGCGAACCTACAACGGTACAGGGCAACG